AAAATCATGGGCAATATATCCAAAGAAAATATTATAGAACAGTAATATGAATGTCAACACTCTGGTGTACAAGTTGCTTTTGCTGTATTTAGTTAAGTGTATGCTATCTAACATTAACCAAGTACTTAAGGAAGACAAAATTAATTGTAGGGGACTTTTTAGAAATTATGAAAAACCTGTTTGTTTAATTTCAGGTGGGTGGGATACAAGATTATTACAAATGATGAGAAAACTATTAAAATACCTATCATAATATTAAAATTGATGCTACTTATAAACATATAACAATTCACAGGGATTTCAACTAAATTCAACAAATAATGGTTGATCACTCTATATACACAAGAAATTGTCCAAGAAAATACAGATACAGTGATGAATAAGCATAGTCTCATTCGGCATCCTGAAAGCTTAAAGTTAGGAAGCTTTTGAGAAATGTGTAAATAACCGTAAATCAAATTCAACTATGCTGAGAGCAATATGACTTACACAAAGGACTACACAGTTCAAAAGAGGGAAAAGTCACATATTTTGTGGGTATAGGAAATATCAATAAAGGATCCTTCATTCTGATATCAAAAACTTAAAGGATAGGATTATAAATAAAGAAATAAGTTAGGGAGGAGAAATTAGAGGGAAAGAAAATGGCATGGTAAACGGCTCAGAGAACTGTGGGTGAATGAGATTACGAATCAGATTGGTGCCATTACAAAAAACCTTGAGCCAAAGACCTTCCATGTGGCTCCCTTGGGTGATATCATCCACTGATGAGGATAATTGAAAATGCAGCTGGTGACTCAGAGCACAAATATTTGAGAAGTAATTACAGTAAGGGGTGTCCGAAGTTTTTTACATGCATTTTTATGTTAGGAACTGAGCTAGCTTTCAAGTTGCTCATGATCCATCCAAATCAACACCAAAATCAACATTAAACAGTTAAAATAAAGGTAACAGTATTAAGCTGAGATCTATATTTTTCATTTAGCCTAGAGAATTAAAGTCACTTACAGTTCCTGCTCCACCTCCAACCAACCTATTATACTGCACTTCTCTCCAAGTTTCTCTGGGTGGGTCTTTATGAGGGATCCAGATGAACTATTTCCATTGTTCCATTTACTCAAACAATCCCTCTAACAGGATTTCACTAAATTGAGGACATTCAATCCCCTCGTGCCTCCAGGCCTTTGCCCTTCCCTCCACCTGTCCTCCCTCATCTGTTAGCGGCTTACTCCCTCCAGGGCACTCTCAGGAGCTCTGCCCCAACACCTAATCAAATAGCAAAACATCACCACAACCCACTTTATTTTTCTTCATAACCTTATCATCTTTCATACTATGTGATTTATTCGTTTATCTGGTTTATTGTTTGATGCCCCACCCAGGGGCTGAGGGTGTTTGTCTATTTTATTCATGAATGCATCCCCAGTACTTAGAATAGTGCCTAACATTAACTAAATGTTTAACAAATATTACATGAATAAATACATGTGTGAATAAACTATATGCATACTATTTACATAAATATTTGAAACAGTTCCTATTTTACTTTATAGAACTTACCGTCCTGACTACTGTTTCTCATTTCTTTTATTGAATTGAGGATTTATAAAGTATCTGCTATATAATCAGAATTGTATCTGGTTCTTACAAAATCAGTCATATATGTTGATATTTGAGAAGAAAATAATAAGTGGGGATGACAAATATAACATGAATACTATAGGATTTCAGTTGGTATTAAAATGGAGATACCCTGACATCTCCAGGGGTTTCCCCTAATTGGGGCATTTGCTAGATCCAGCAAATGAAAAAAAAAAAAATGCTCCCCCACGTGAGCATGGGCTTTGGAATAACACAGACCTAAGTTCTAATTCCAGCAATGCCATTCATTATTTCTACCACCTTGGCCTTGTCATAAGTCTGTCTGGGTCTAAGTGATTTCATTTGTAAAATGAAGATCACAATCTTAACCTCACATGCAGAATGTGAGCTATCCAATGAGATCATCTATGGAAACAATTAGTCAAGTCTTTGGCACATAGAAGTATTAAATAAATGCATGTGGAATGAATTAATCCTTGATAAATGGGGGGAAACGTAACCAGAAAAAAGTGCCTTGTTTCAACCTATTTCTACTGTGTTGTACTCGATCTATGCCTTCACTCATGGTGACCTGCTGCCCTCAACATCATTAAAATAGTGAATTACACTATATATTGATTGGTTATTATACGTATTATCATTCCCATTTTTACAAATAAGGAAACTGGGTCTTAGACACATTAAGCAACTTATACAAGGCCCAACACAAACAAAGTACACAACACAGTTGGGATCTGAACCCAGATGAGCTTGCCTCCAAAGCTGGCTCAGTTGTCATGCTCACCTTAGTCTGCATTGTCACCAGAAAGTATATCCTGTATTAGTCAGTTTTCTGTTGCTTATAACTGAATACCTGAAACTGGGTAATTATAAAAAAAAAAATGGAATTTATTTCTTATGGTTTTAGAGGCTGGGCAGTCTAAGATCCAGGAGACACATCAAGGGAGGACCTTCTTGGTGCTGTGCAGAGTCTGTGGATATGCAGAGTATCACATATCTAGGGCCAGGAAAGAGCATTAACATGCTTACTTGCTGTCCTTATAAAGCCATGAGTTTCACTCTCTTGATAATCCACTAAACCATTAACCCATTAATCCAAGTGTTGAGAAAATAGAATAGTTTGGTTAGGACCCTAGCCTCAGGTCTGGTTGGGCATGGTTAGGGACATCCTTTGTAAGCAAATTGTGTGGGTGTGTGTGTGTGCGTGGAGTTGGTGCACATGCACACCAATGTATCTTTTTAGTTTTGTTGCTATTCTTGTGTTCTTCAGAGAGAGAGTTTGTGAAGCAGTGAAGCAGGCTGGCTGGTGGTTGACTGCCTCAGGTGGCCACCACGTGTGCAGCCATGCTTTCCAATTTACGGCTTCCAGGGATCTGTTTGCCAGTTACCTAGCTCATAGACCTGCGTGTGAGAGGTCTGGGGACCCAGCCTGGTGTGTGTGGGGTCTGGTGGCCCAGCCTGGCATATGAAGGGTTTGTGACCCAGTCCGGACAATGGGCTTGAGGGCTCTGTGAGCTCCAGACCCAGCCCTAGCTCTATAATTGGCCCAGTAGGCAGGATAACCAGAGCTTTACAATTGGCATCACAAACAAGATAAAGAGCTCTACAATTTGGCATAGTTTGTGAGCAGGATTCCAACATTAGCCCAAGTGCCACAGCAAGAATGGATTAATCCACTCATGTAGGCATAGTCCTCACAATCCAATCACCTCTTAAAAGCCCCACCTTTCAAATACCATAGCTGTATTTCCCACCCTCTTAACACTGTTACAATGCAGATCAAGCTTCAATGAGTTGCAGGGGGCGGAGGGGGGGTATTCAATCTGCAGCACTCCCTAAACTCTCAGTCAATATTATGCCTTTTTGAGTCCATATAGAATGTTATGCATATTTCTTTAATAATTAATTTATAGTAATTGTTAAAAAATATCTTTTGACATATATGTCACCTTTTAGAAACACTTCATCTATGTAGGTAACTGTTTCTGTTTTTAGATCCTGAATAGGTTTCATTGGGCATCTTCCACGAGAAGCTCATAAACACTAATGTTTATTGAATATCTATTTAGCTGTAGGCTTTGGCTGAATTACTCTACTCCTCAACTCATGCATTCCTTATAACAGCCCTATGAGGCCAATACTACTTTCATCCTCATATTAGAGATGATAAAAATGAAACACAGTGAAGTAATAAGTTCACACAGCTTAAATTCCAGGACTGAGATTTGAACCCAAGCACTTAGATTCCAGAGCCCATATTCTTAATCACGAGTCTATTTCACCCCTGGTACACCAGGACTGACTGTATCTTCTCTTTCTTTAATAAATCCTAAGAAAATATCTTTTCATTGAGTCAAAATGGTGCTTCTATGAACTATGACTCTCATGTTTGGCAAGTCTATTTTCCTATGACACTGGCATCTGCAATTAGTAAAACTTAAAAGCTTATTTAATAAAATCGATATATTTAGATTCTGTTAAAGCCAAATTTTAGTTCAGCATTTATAAAAAGTTTAGTCTTGCCACTTCCCCCGCCTCAGTTTAGGAGTACCATGCTGGTGGTCTTCATTGCCTTAAATAGGCTACGAGTTGTGCTCTTGTAAGGTTCTGGACCTAAGTCATAACCTTGCATAAATTCAAAACCAAAAATAAACTTTAAAAAGGCTCTTTCCTTTCAATACCAACTTAATTTTTTTCTACTTTCTAAGTAAAATGATTTAAACATAGAGAGTCTATTTTTAAGAGAGAGCAAAGAATGTGTTCACAACAAGTTGGAACAGCGTGCAAGTGCACTGGCTTCACTGTTATCTGAACGACAAAGCATTAAATCACAAGGAGGAAAAAGTCAGCATGTTCTCTTAGAAAACAAATTGACTAGCGTCATTGAGAGCTTTGCCCAAGAAAGGGAAAAGACACCTACCCAGAGAATAAATCATGCATAAGAAACCTATAATTTTAAGAAATATTTTCAAGAGATATTTGAGCTGATAGGTATGGCTATTAGATTAAGAAAGCACAGAAAAAGTTTCATCTGAAATTAAAAAAACAAAAAAGTGGACCTTCCAAATGTGATAGATCAATATCACCCCTCTTACCTACGTTCCCTTCCATAAGATACGACTCATCAGTGGTTGGGAACTCACAGAAGAAAAATCTAGGTAGTTTCTCTCTCTCTCTCTCTCTCTCTCTCTCTCTCTCTCTCTCTCTCTCTCTCTCATTCTCTGATGGAGCACTACTTAACATTACTAGGCATATAAGAATCTTTCCTAAGTTAAAATGTGTAAGAAGCCCTTATCCCTTGACATTGACATACAAACACTCGTGGTCCCTTTAGGATCTTCTAACATTCAGTTTAAAGCTTTCTCTCTCAGAACTCCAAGAAAAAGAATTCCTCTTACCATATATTCCATGTTTGCTGCCGGTGGGAACACTTTGCCCCGAACTTGATTATGAAAATCAAGAATGGCGATCATGTCATTCTGCGAAATGTAGCGCTTCCGCCTGGCTTTGGGGGTATCCGCAGAATCTAGCTGTGCTTTTACAGCTGCTTCAATATCAGTGAAATTATTGGCTGGCGGGGATGAGTCAGTGGCGTTGGGTAAGACGACGGCACTTGCTTCACAGAGAAAGGAGAACAGGAGCGCACTGCTGACGGCGGAGACTGCTGTCATTTTGAGGGACGGAGAAAGCCCACCGGGTTTACTTGGCTTTAAAGCAGAAAGGTACAGTTAGGGTCTATGGAAAGAAAACAGAGCCAGAGGGGATGAATTTGCAAAGTCATCCTCTGAGAGCATGGCTTGATTTGACTTTCCCCACAAATCCAAACAAATGTTGAACTCAAGCCTGGGAGACAACTTATAGCAGAGTCCCTATTCATTTTGTTTAATGGTATGAGGCAGACCCCTAAAAGGAACTTTCTATAGCTGGACAAAAATAAGCAGCATGACCACTAGCCCTAAAATGAATGTGCATCATTTGCCCCAAATGCCTGAACCACTAAATGCATTACTGCATATTGATTTTCAGTGGGAAATCTTCAGGAATTGAAACTCATCTTGAGAGTGAAAAGGAAAAGTACAACACGGGTAACAACAGAGAATGTGCTGATAATGTCTCCCAGACATACGTAAAGCAAGTGAGAGCACACACAAAAAAGTTATAGTAATTCAATCTCATTTCTAAAAAAATTTTTAAAAAAACATGTGAATTACTTTAAAATCAATGCATGCAATACAAACTTGTTGAGCTAAATAGCTTACCTCTGCACAATGCCAAAATGAATATATTGCTCTTCCAAAAATTTAAAGTTCTTTGCTATGTTGTAGCATGAACTCTTTTAAGAAGAGTGTGTCTTATTACAAACTCTGAGAGCAAAACTCTGCAAGGTTTGAATGCTGCTGGCTACAGGAGCAGCTCCCAGCTTTTATATGTCACAGTTTGCAACGTCCAGAAAGGGCAGTCTTTCTTAGGGTCTCTCTTAGCCAAAATCAAAGGGGAGGGGTTTGGGATAGAAAAAACAGTGATTGGGTGGCAACCTTTTTATGTGGGTGGTGAGGAAATTGAGTCACACCCACAGCTTACAAAGTACAAGCCATAAAAGCCAAACCCCTTTTTCTCTGAGCTTCCACCTTTTCTGTGAGTGGTTAATTTCTCTCATTTAATGCTTTCTAGTTCCTGGTTTCCATACAAAAAAATAAAAGACTGTGGGTTCTTGAAAACACAGACGGCTGAGTAACAAGCAGTACATTTTTTTAAAGACGGTAAATGACATGGGAGCTGAAAAGAGCAAGCTGACATTAAATCAGGAGATCAGCTCACATAGTTAGTCTGGGTGGCCACAAATATGACTCACGAGAGATGCCAGGCAAATCAGCAGTAGCCAAACTATAGCATATGGTATTAGGATAATAGATGCTCAAGTGGTTGTACTCTCTGTTTCCATGTGGCTTTATTCCTCTGATTTATATATTTACTTTCCTTTTCTCTCTTGTTTCACTTTCCCTCCTTTTTTTTCTTTCACAACAGAGGTCAGCAAATTACCTGCTATTTACCTGCCTTGTATATAATGTGAATAGAGAAGCTCATGGTAAATGACAGCAGCCAAGATAACATCTGTTTCAGGTTTAGAAGCATATAGTTGAGATTTTAAGCAGAGAACAGCTCAGCCTCTCAGGAAGTGTATTGGAGGGCACAGCACAGAGGCCATGAAGATTTAACAGCAGTAGCAGAAGCCAACAGTCAGAAGTGCCTTGTTAGGAGGATGCCATTGGAGCAAAATCCGTGTCAGGCAAAGCTAGAGCCAAGAATGTGAATTTTAGGGCAATCTATCGAAAGGACTTTCAAAAATGTCATGTGTCATGATCTCACTAACTAAATGTCAGCCATTTATAGTCAGTAGCAATAGGAAATCTGGAAACCAGGCACTGTTCAGTTTACAAACATACTTAACATATGTTGACTTGCCCAGTTTGCTAATGTGATCGCCTCCTGCATGTTTCAGCAGAAGTGCTATGTGAATTTACAGTCATTAGAAACGAAAGCCATGTAGCACACTGGACGAGGGCCAACTTTCCTGTATTATGTGTGACCTAGTGCATACTGTTTAACTCTTCATTTGTGCATCTAAAAACTGGAGGAAAAGGTGCATGTTCTATGCTAAGACAGGCTCCATCAAATTCCTTAAGAGGGCAGTAAGGTGTTTAAAACAGAAGTGCCGCTGGTGTTCAAAATACAGTGATCAGACACAGACTCGGATAGCAAAAACAAATATGTGTCAGAGTTCAGGTTTCCCATGTTTTTATGAGTATTAATCTCCTAACTAAAGTGAAATCATTTTAGAAGAGCTCAAGCTGCAATATTGAACACTTTAAACAAGAAATTAATTAATACAGTAACATTGAAAAGGCAGGAACATGTAATATAAGTGCAGGAGGTGAATGGGAGGAGTATGAAACATCAGAGAAACTGGAGGGGATGCACGCGGTTGCTCACGGCCTCACATTTTTAACTGGAGCTGTCCAACCAGGTCTCATCTCTCTGGAAAGTACTCGTGGTTCCTTCGTTGAATCTCAAGGATGCTATACTAAGGATTTCTGAATCAAATAGGAGGTTAGATGAGATACTCTCTGCAGGCTGTCCAGCTTTAAGATCTCTGGATGTTTTGAGAAATTAGCACAAATTAGCCTGTACTTTATACATGTCTCATTTAGCTGTCCAACATGTAGGAAACTAAATGATTTTTAATACCTAAACAACAGACATAGATTATCTTTCTCAAGAGTGGATGAGTTCTTGCTTAGAACGTAATGAGTGTACTCATGTTGACCCAATTTGTCATGTATACAAACAGATACTCTCCACCTCTTGGGGTTTGACTTAAGACTTGACTTCCATAGGGGTAAAAATGTGACCCTTGAGAAACTTGTCCAAACCATAATGGATTTCCTCTAAGAAGGAGTCAAGAGATAGAGGAGGAGGAGGAGAAAGAAGGAATTTCTGAGATGGACCTAAAAAAGGGGTCATTTCTTTGAGTCCAATTACATAAGGGCGGAGATGATAGTTGCTTAATCCTGAGACCCTGAGGCATGTCAATGATTTCAGATGTCTTTCAGCACACATGGATTGTATTGTGGAATTTCAGACTATTAAGGAAACCCACAAGGCTATGGAATCATAAAAGAAAAGACCTGTGGGAGGAGAGTTAAGAATCCTGCTTCCAAGTGGACGTTATTGCCAGAAGAAGTATTTGAAATGCTTTGGAAGTAATTTTAATTTTAAAATACTTGCAAAATTAAGAGGCGTACATCCAAGTTGTCAGTAAGAGGACTATTAATGAACAACTAACAATGAAGTGGTTCTTTATGAGATCTCTTTTTGAAAAAGACCATTGACATGTTTTGAAACCTTTAAGGGACTGCTTGCCAACATAGACAGAAATGGAATGCAGTTATATTACTGAAAAGAAATACGTATACAATTGGCAGCACTTTGAAACCTGTGAGAAAATGGCTATGATTCTTAAATTGAAATCAGATATAAGTGTCCAAGAATGGCACACTTGCTTAAGAAAAGGTACTTTAGGTTGTGTGTGTGTGTGTGTGTGTGTGTGTGTGGCTTTAGTCTAAATCCTTTCTAAACAAAACATGTTCCATGGACTGCTAGCATTACGATCACCTGGAAGATTATTAGAAATGCAGAATTTCAGGTCCCATCCAATACCCACTGAATCAGAATCTTCATTTTATCAGAATCCAAGGATGATTCATATGCACATTAAAGTTTGAGAAGTATTTATGTAAAGTATTATATAAAGTTTGAGAAGTATTAATAAATCACATTATTTCCAGAGACACATCCTACTATACACATACCCACTGAAAAAGCTATTATGGAAGTCTATTTATATAGTAATATGGGGTGATTAAAGACAATATAAGTATATACAAGTGTTTTTGAATAGAAGAACACAAGTCAACTTCTATTTTATAAAGAAAAAAATAGATGGCCAAGGAAAGTACATACATAGCATTTCACAAAAAAATTTAGTAAGATTATTTGTAAGGCTACTGTATAAACCATATTAGTTATTTAATACATACTAATTTATCACAAGATTGTTGAAACAATGTAATGCAGTATATGCGAAATGGCTTGTAAACTGTGGCATGCTTTGCAAATGAAACTATTATTTTACTCTGTCATCTCCAGGATGAAAGCCCAGAGCTCTTTCTCACCTTGTTTCATACATCCAATAACCCTGAAAAACGTGGATTTTTATCTCTGAAATGTCTTACCAATGTACTCCTTTTTATTTTATCATTATCATGACTGCTCAAAGTTAATCCTATTATCTTTTTATAGGTTTAGTACATTCACCTTCCAGCTGTTATTTCTGACTCTAGTGTCTCTCCTCTCATCAATTATCCACATTGCCTTTGGTTACCTGCCTAGAAAACAAACCAAATCACTTTTCTCATCTACATGTAACTGTCTGTTGGTTCTCCATTGTCCATATGGTCAAGTTCAAGTGCCTTGGCCTGTTTTACAAGGGCCTTGAGAATATAAATAAATTTACCTTTTAAGTCTAGATTGCTGCAAACATGCCTTTCTATTTCTCTATCCTCATCACACCTTATGCCCCAATTACACTTAACCACTCTTCTCCCTGTTAACTTCACTAAGTTAATAAGGCCATGCGCGGTTGTTAGTTGGGTAGGTGGCAGCCTTCTTGCTTCCATTAATGTAATTATTACAGAGAATTGTGTATGTATTTATTAAAAGATCTTAGTAAACAGTAACATGACATTGCATCAGTTGTGTTGTTAACTTCCCTTTAACAAACTACTTTCTTACTTGATTACAAGTCTCATATATCATTCTAGAGTCATCAACATCTACAGATGTCTAAGTGGGCTTTACAAACATTTTTTTCATCAGTCTAGCCATGAATAATCACTAAACGATCAAGAATATATGTAGGGGGTAATTTAACGAAAGGTGGAGACTTTGCAAGAATGGTAAAGAGATTTTGTGTCTAATGTGTCAGATATTTCCATTTTTAATGTTGTAGAATTTATTAGATTCAGAAAGTGTACAGAATAAACATGAAAAATTTTTGAATTTGAGCCCTCTAATATTATATATATTATAATATATAACAAACATTATATATAATATTAATATAGACAGAATTATATGTAATAATAATATAGACTGATATTATATATAATATAAATTATATATACAATACTTATTATATATATATATATTATGTCTTTATATAATAAATATATATAGCTATAATATAAATATCAAAATATTGCATTTTCAAAATATTTGAGAAATTCCGTAAAATGTATATGTGGTACCATCTATTCATATATTATATTATATTTTATTTTATTTATTTATTTATTTTTATTTTTGTGACCATTAAGGGGATCGTAACCCTCGGCATGGTGTGGTCTGCACCACGCTCAGCCAGTGAGCGCACCGGCCATACCTAGGTAGGATCCGAACCTGTGCCCTTGGCACTCCCAGCGCAGCACTCAGCCGAGTGAGCCACAGGGTCGGCCCCTATATTTTATTTTATTACATTATATTACCTAGTATTATGAAACCAGATTCAAGTATCTATATTTTAACTCATTTAACCATATCTATATTTAACTATATTTTAAAAATCTTTTTTACAAAAGGTGATGAGGAGCTAATATCACATAATAATATTTGTGTAATTATTTCAACTTTTATGTAGTTGTTTTTCCTCAGGTAAAAAATACTTGTAGGTTTTCTGCACT